TTAAACCGTTTAAACTCAAGAGCTGATGCACACAACTTTTCCAATTAATCAATTGAACGCCGTCAATAAATATTTATGCTGTCCGAGAGGGCAGATACCTTGTGCCTTGTCGCACATTAAATCCCATCACATATTGTTAATCAGTTAAATGGACATTCTAATAGCGTACATAATCCCGACTGTGATCGACTCCTGCCAGAAATGGCATTAACCTTGGTCCAACATGTCATGCCTCACTGGATATTCAAGCGAAAATGATTTCAATCTACGATTTATACAAACTGTAAACAATTGTTGCAAAGTGTTGGCCTTTATGGACAGGCGAAACGAAACCAATTTATTTGCCATTTCGTTGTTAACAATACGCTAAGCTCCTAACTTAATTATGACTGGCAGATTTTTGCAATTAAATCATAAATAAACATGCGGCTACTGTATAATATTTATGTAGATGCGCACATCCAAAATTGCTGTTAAATATACACTTTTCCATCGAAACCAACTAAATTCCAATTGGAAAAATGTCACAAAATTGATTGGCTGAATTTGGCATAATATGCTTCATTAATTATTGCCGCATTCATTTGGCTTATGACATGATGCATATAGAAAAGTTTCCAAAAATTTGAACTGTTTTAGTTTTTATACCCTGAACCCATTGAAAATGGGTATAAAGGGTATTTTGTATTTGTGCAAATGTATGTAACAGGCAGAAGGAAGCATCTCCGACCACATAAAGTATATATCGATCTTGCTATGTCCATCTGTCTGTCTGTCCGTCTGTCCGTTTGTCCGTATGCATGATCGCAAGGATCTCGGAACCTATAAGAGCTACACACTTGAAATTTTAGCTGTAGGTCCTCCTACTCCCCGCGCTGGTCGAGTTTGTTTCCGATATTCGATAACTTGCCCCGTTTCCAAGTAATCGATAAAAATCGATATCGAAATCCTGTTTTTTGCGCAAATCTCGTAAGTTATAAGAGCTAAAATCACCAAACTTGACATGTAGCTTCTAGAATAGTATATATATATCAAGTATCTTTAATTTTATATCTATCGCCTGTTGGAAGAAGAGGGTCCAGGGTATCCCCTAGTCGGGAGCTCCCGACTAGAACCGCTTACTTGTTTAGAATAACAATATATAGACTTTGCTTGAGGGATAAACACACAAAGCTAGACTTTTCTTTTGGTGGCTTTGTCGTTATTTTTTCAATTGCTTATAATTCCCAATTAGTTATAGCTTTGAAGTGGGGATAAGGGCTTGCACATCTGGAGTCTGGACAGAACCGGAAGGCTCTTGAAATTCCTGACACTTTTCATCTTTATAACTTGTTGTTCGTTTTTGTAATCAACATTAATTTCTAGAATGCACATTTCTATAATAAGTATATCAGAGCTATTAATGTTGACAGAAATTTGCAGTTACAAAATTCAAAATTGCTATAATTCAATTTGACATGTGAATATTTGCATTTGCGGCAGCCACTGGCCATAAATTTTGTGCGCAAAAAAAAAATTGTTTATTTTTTTAAATCAATATTTTTGCTAAATTTAGTTATATTTCTCTATATATGTGCATTTTGTTTTCGTTTGGGTTGCTAAAAACAATTCCATGCTAATTAAGGCACAGAAATCAAATGGGATTTGCCAAATATTAGCATAAAAACCCGTTTAATTGAATTATAAATAAATGGCTTTGTAGTATTTAACTATTGTTATTTGGTTTTTGTTTTTTTTTTTTTGATATTTGCGCCGAATTTAATTTATGTTAATTGCACGGCCATCCGCAAATTAAATATGAATAAGTGCTCGCAATTGTCCGATAACACGTCAATGCGCTAAAAGCCGCTGGCAAATTTATAGAAAAACATGCCAAAATGGCCAAAACGGGCATATGGACAACGCGGCGTATGGACAACGTGGCGTATCGACAACGCGGCGTATGGACAACGCGGCGCATGGACAACGTGGCGTATGTGTCATCTAGTGTTAACAGCAAATGTTTATTGTTGTTGTTGCTCTTCTTTTTGTTGTTGTTATCATTGTTTTTATTGTTTTTATTGTCGCTTAGCACTTACAGTTCAAATGAATTTCGATGTGCCAGCGAAAACAAAGTCAGCTGCACAAATGATGTTGCATCGTTCAAAATTCATCCGCCGACTGTGTCGCACCTAAGTGCTTTAGGTGTGCCTGTGTGTGTGTGTGTGTGTGTGTGTGTGTGTGTCTGTGTGTGTGTGCATTTTAATGCAACTGTGGCTGCCTGCTATACGTTATGTTTCTGCCCCACCATCGATTTCTATTGTTTTCGCTTCCATTTTTTGCCCATTGCCTTTTTTGTTGCTTTTGTTTTTTTATAGCCTGAAACTCATTGAAAGTAGGTAAAAAGGGTATAATGCTTTCCGGCAAAAAAATATATGTATTAGGCAAATGTATATATTGTGTAAATTTATATATTCAAACATCTCCGACCTTGTAGAGTATATATTCTTGAGGCGACGAGCCGTCTGTCTGTTCGATCTCGAAAACTGCACAAGCTAGAGACTTAAAATTTGATATATAACATTTTTATGGACATCTCTCTCCATTTCTATAGGCATAACATTAAACTTATATTTTAATGGATGGATAAAGTATATGCAGATAAAGACTATTTTATTTTTCTGGTAAATTCCTGCATTTCCATTAAAATTGGAACAAAAAAACATATCTGAATTCTAGGGACTGAAAATTTCAGTAAAAGTTTGGACTTGAAGCAAGAATGTATAGAATATATGAGTGTGCATATGTGTGTGCATATGTGTGTGTAGAAGAAAGCTAGAAGTGCTAGTATCTCTTAGTCGGGCACGCCCGATTAGAGCACACTTGTTGTTGTTGTTGTTTTTTTTTCGTCTTCCTTTTTGTTGCAATTGACATTTAAGTGCAGTTGTTGCTGACAATCAAATTGTGAGTGTGTGTGTGTGTGAGTGTGTGTGTGAGTGTGAGTGTGTGGCATTAAAAATGCATGTTGATTGCAAAGAAAAGGCTCTGTCTTCACAGCCAAAAACAAATAATATAGAATTCGGTTTTTGTTGTACGGACTGACGGATTTGGCTGGCGCATTATTTATGAGAATTTGAACAATTTAAAGTCTGGCTGGCCCCCGCCAATAAATTTGGAAACATTTGCGGTGTGTGTTGAAAGCCAACAACAACAACGACGACGAGGGGCTAAAAGCTAAAAGCAGCCATAAATTCAAGACATGGAGCAAGACGATTACATCTCGGTGAGACACGCTTCTTAAATTTTTGGGTGCAGCCAAACGCAAAGTGTCTAAAATATATGAGAGATTCGTGTAGCAGCTGTAGTTTATGCCTAGTTTGCGGTTCGTCTTTCGACTTGTCTAAATGGGGGCCCGAATGGGCCCCATGCCAAAAGATTCTCTGCCTCGCTCTCTCAGTCTCTCTCAGTCGCAACTACCTATCTCTTTTCTCTGACTGTCTGACTGACTGACGTGTCGTTTATTCCTGTGACTGGCGCATGCATTTGCTGATGCATGGCCAAAAAAAGAAAAATAGATGGCATCTAAAGTGGCAGGGAGGCATCTATGGCACATCTGTGTATGCCCATTAGTTGTAGCTTTTTGTGGCGGCTATTCTTCGTCTATTTTTGTATAAAATGTGAAAATATCTTTTTATGCATGCATAGAAAACTGCAGCGTCTATTTGCTGCTGGCCCATTTTGGCCGCCTGTCTGGCGTTTTCTATTCGCTGCATTATTCTTACATTTATGTGCGCCTTTCACTGAAATATGCTACAAGGCAACATTAACGGCGCTCTCCGAATCACTCGACTGCGCAATGCTCTGTTCCGAGCGTAATAACACTTGACATGCGAAAAGAGATCGATCTTAGGTCAATGCATACGTTTGGCTACATATCCAGAAACTTATTCGTAATCAAACAATATATATAATTGATGTATCTAATTTTGTTATTCCGAGGGACTATAATTAATATAGTTATAAATATATATTTCTTGCGATTGTGGCTGATCTTGAAAACAATTTTGCCTGTTGAAGATCTCTAGTTTGTATATTATCTTCAACGGAAATAATTATAACCAAGTTGAGTGACTGCAAAACTGTGAGGACTGTGCAGACAAGTTGCTTTAAAACTGTGGAAACTATGTTCTTCTATTTAGGAAAGTTGCGGAAATATTTTTGATTTTAATGGGGAAGCAAACAAAAAACAATTACATTTTATGATGGAAATATTTTGCATTTCAATTTGGAAGAAGATAAGACAAAAAATTCACTTGATTTGTGACTCTGGAATATTGCTGGATTTTTTTTAGTTCAAATATTTAATTGGATTTAAGATCTATAAAACTTTGACTATGAAATATTTCGAAAATATTTTACATTTAAATTTGGAAGATATAAAAAATATTCAATTGGATTCAATGTCTCTTAAATATTGCGGGAAACTAATTAAAATAGAAACAAATTAATTTGATGACTTTAATAGATTTCTATCTGACGTACTGCCAGACGGATATACGCCTTTTTGGCTAATAGGAGCTGAGTATTCAAATGCATTTTCACTGCAACAAAATTGCAGTAGCAGCAGCAGTAGAAGCCGCAGCATCTGCAGCCGCAGCCGCAACCGCAGCAGCAGGCAACGAGGCGAAGAACGAGACAAAATAAAATTAATTTGTTGCACAGTATATACATATTTTTACTAGAGGCAGCCAATGTCATTTGCTTGACAGTTGTCGGTTTACACTTTGATGACCCCAAATCGAGTGCCAGAAAATGTGCTCTCGCTTTTCACATTGTTCACCTGCCCCATTGACATATTGTCGCCGAGCAGTTGTTTCCCTTACACCCCAGAAAAAAAAAATGAAAAATGGAAAATTTTCTGAAAATAATATCAAGTTGAATGGCCATTGAGTGTGCATAAAAGATGTTTGCTTAGATGAAATTCGTGTTTGCGCAGTTCGAGGGTCGAGTGTGTGCGTGTGTGTGTGTGCGTGTGTGTGTGTGTGTGCAGCAGCTGGGGTTCAAGTTTGCAGTTCGAGGGCAGCCTTAGGAAGGCAACTGAAAACAGAAAACGCATAAATTGAAATTGAGAGATTCCATCAAATTCACAGCCGTTCATTGCTTTTGAAATGAGCTACAATGTTCGTTACTTTTACAAAACACAATAAATATCAAATAAATATAGGGAATCAATATAATAATTTACTAACTGAAAGCAAATCTAACGCTTGTAATGCTGATACATGCCATGCCCATAGCCCATGGGTGTGCTGCCCATCGCGCGTTCGGTTGCCTTCTCGATGCTGGCATAGACGCACTTGTAGCAGCACACGTAGGCCAAACATCACTTGAACAGGATGCGCCGAAAGGCGCGTCGGAAGTCCTTGTTGAATATGGTATAGATGGCCGGATTGAGAGCCGAATTCATATAGCCCAGCCAGAAGGCAATCGCGAACGCCGACTCGGGTATATTGCAATGGCTGCTACACGCCGGCACCAGGATATACAGAAAGAAGAAGGGCAGCCAGCAGGCGATGAAGCTGCCCATGATTAGGCCCAGTATAAGGGTGGCGCGCTTCTCCTTTTTCCTTGCGATGCGTCGCTTCTCCTTCTCGGGATCGCGCGGCTTTGGCGTCTTTGGTATGGCCGGTTCGAGTTCGGTTTTGGCCGTCAGCTCCTTGGCCTTGGCCGCGGCGGCGGCTGCATTGTTCTTGGCCGCAACGGCGGCCGCCTTGGCCTCGTTGCGGCGCTGCTGATTCGATTTGCGTCCAAAGATCGGCTGGCAAAGGCGAAATTTGAGCGGCTTGACAACCGCACAGCGGCTGACCACGCCCGAATCCGAGCTGGATGGATCGAATTCACTCACCATGTCCGTATCGATGCCCACGGATAGGGCACGACACCGTCCGGCAATCGGCGACACACGCAGCTCATTGCTGCTCGCCGCGCCGCCAGCTACGCCAGCTGCCCCCCCACTGTTGCCGCCCGGCTGCAACGTGGCTCCAACGGCATCTGTGGCCACGCAGCCGTTGTTGTTGTTCAGCACATTGACGGAGTTGTTGCTGCCGCCCATCGACGGCGGCACGGGCACATTGAGCCCAATGCCGCGGCCCGTCGCAATTGTGCTGACCTGCAGCGTTTCCTTGGGCGAGCCGGTCAGGCCGTCCAGTCCGGCAGCTGGACTGGTTGCCCCATTGGGATTGGCATAGGCCAGCGCCGCCTGGGCGGCCACAGCCTCCAGCTCGCCCGCCTCCGAGGTGGATATATCGGAGGCCAAATCCATGGTGACCGTCGGTATTTGCATCGGCAATGTCGCGCTATTCGGTGGGGTCTCAATGGTGGCTATCTGTCGCTGCTGATGCAGCTGCAGCTGCGCTCCGCCCGAGCTGGAGGATGGCATCGGTATTGTGCCTTTCTTGTTGGCGGTGGTGAAGCTCGTTACCTGCAAAGAAGGCGCCAATCAGTTCGGTACATGGCTTTTCCATTTCCCAAAAATTCGATTTTAAGTTTCCGCTCAACAGGCGCGTCGACAAACAAGGCGTGGCACTGCAGTGTAAGCTCTGCGGCAATTATCAGCACACGGCAAATGCACAGCAGGTGTGCAATGGGAGTGTGTGTGGGAGTGTGCGTGTGCGTGGGTTAATCTCATGCCTGAGCAGCAGCTGCCACAGCTGGGGGCCTTTGTTTGTTCGAATTGTTAGTCAAGTGTCGCAGGTTTATCTCCTTTTTTTTTTTTATTTTCTGTTTGTGTTTGCCTTGCGTCCAGTTAATTGAAAATGCAAATTGTGATCGAATTGGCTGGCCGCAAATGCTGCTCAGGTCTGTAATTGTTGGCAATTCGGCAAAGGTAATTGACGCTGCGTGGCCAACTGAATGCGGCAACCATTAGAGGAGATTTGTACTCAATCAGCGCAACTTTGCGCGATAATTTGCAGCTTAAATCAAGCTTCAGCTATGAGGAAATTGCCAAATGTGGGCGAACAGCCATTACGGCCAACACGTAGCGCACAAATTGGCGAGAAATGGGAGCGGTGTGCGTGCTGCTCCCGCTTCGAGCTGCTCTTTAAATGTCCTCCGCCTTTAAGCTTACAAATATTGCGCATACGCCACATATGCCAGGGCAAAATTGCTGCCCTCAGCTGGCAGCAGCTGAACGCTGCGTTCATGTTCATTCAAATGGCAAAATTTGCATTCGCATCTGCGGCTGCTGCTCAACTTTACTCTGGCTGAACTGACCGAAGGAGCAACGTGAGGGGGGAGGGAGGGGGCCGCAGCTCAAATCGGCCAAATATGCCAAAGCTATCACTCGCAGAGCCACAAGAAGACACGTTTGGTACTCACTCACTCACTCACTCACCTGTTCGTTGTTTGTTTTGCGCGGATGTTTTTTAATGCCCCGTCTCGCCCGCGCCTTGGCGGCAAAGTAAATTCGTATGTACACAAAGACCATGATGCAGCTGGGTATATAGAAGGAGCCCAGCGCCGAGTAAAGCACGTAGCCAATGTCCTCGCTTAGCTGCAAGCAGATAGAGAGAAAGAGAGAGAGAGAGCATGAGTTTAGATTGGATTTGTTTTCCGCTGAGATTTATCGCTGAAATTGCTCAAATCTCAAACAACAATAAATACTCGCTGCACGATTTTGTGAGCTTGAGCAGAATTAAGAAATTGAGTGCGATTTCTAACCTTTATATTTAAAATCCAATTTGTTTTTAAAGTTGTTCTCTCCATAAATAAACAAAAATATTGTTGCAAGGAGAGTAAACTAATAGCTTTAATAAATACCAAAAATATATCTGATATGAGCAAATTGAGACAAAATTTTAGAATAACAATGCCTGCAAGGGCAAGGCTTGCGAATTCATTTTACTCGACTAATCGAAGCTCAATTATTCGGTAAATGGGAAAAATGTATTCAAAAGTCAAATATTTAAAGGATTTTGTTACAATTTCTTGTTGGCTATTAGATTTTTTATACAAAGTGTATTACTAACAGTAAAAATAACTATTAAGAGGCTCTAGTTAGGAGTTCCCGACTAGGCGATACCCTGAACCCTCTTCCACCAACACCAAATGCAGCATTTTCAACAGTAGATCTTATTGTACCAGAGAATATTTGTATATTCTCAAAAAGTCAATTGCATTTAAATTGTGGCTTATATTGGTGGGCAACACAAATTGGTTTACTATATTGATATCTATGTCTGGTAGCGGGGAGGTGGCGATAGCTATAAAATGAAAGATACTTGATGTATATATATTCTATTCTAGAAGCTACATGTTCACTTTGGTGACTCTAGCTCTTATAACTTATAACGAAAAAACGGGATTTCGATATCGATTCTTATCGATTACTTGGAAACGGGGAAAGTTATCGGTTATCGGAAACAAACTCGTTCAGCGCGGGAACTAGAAAGAGCTACGTTCTTGCGTCCATACATACAGACAGAAAGACGGACATAGCTAGATCGACTCGGCTATTGATGCTGATCAAGAATATATATAGTTTATGGTTTCGCAGATGATTCCTTCTGCCTGTTACATACATTTGCACAAATACATTATACACTTTTAACCCATTTTAGTAAGACTAGGATATACACTGAACTCTTACAAAGATTCTATCCTACATCTCAAAATTTCTTCAGTTCTCAAAAAGGCCCTGATTGATGGTTAAAGGCTGATTTTTTCGTAAAATTTATTAATTCCTTTATTTCCGTCAGAAGGTAAATAAGTAAAAATGCAAATTTTGCAAATTTTTCATAGATGTTAAACAGCTGCAAATTTGAGGAATTACCCAATTTTGATGTAAGGCAGATTCTTTTCTTTGGCCCGAATTGCTTGAGTTCTGTGTGCAAGCGATTTGCTGCTCAGTTGATTGCATTTAGGGACTTAAATTGAATGCAACATTGACTGGCGCTTGACTGCTGGCAGTCACTGTGCGAGCCTTTCATCCACTTACTTAGTTTGCCACGACTTGAAGCCTTTGCCTGATGCCTGATGCCTTTGGCATTAAAGTAAGTACGTACTCATAGTTATATTGAGTGCATTAGACTGATTTACTATGGCAATGCATTTACTGACTGACGACTGTGGAAAATGCTTTGTCAGTTCTTGCCGTGCAAAAATGGGCGAAAAAATGGTCGAAAAAATGCAAAGTGCACGATTTGCACGGAAAATTGCATAACGCTAAATGAACTAAAAATATTAAATTACAGCACACAAAAGCTTTGCCCGTGCAATATTTCTGCGACCGATGGTGGGGGGAGGGGGACGGTTGGCGGATTGAGGACCATTTTTTAGCTGCTGCATTTCATTTATTTAAAGCTGGCGGAATTAAATAGCATCACGGTTTCTGATCTCCGGCCAGATGGATGCCGCTGCTGTTGCTGTTGCTGCTGCTTGTGGCAGACTCTTCACGAAATTATGCAAATTAAGTGTTTTGATGAAAAGCATACAAAAAATAAAAGTGCACTTGATGCGGCCGAGAGACGGCACAAGTGCCCCCAAGCTGCACGAATGCCCTTTTAGCTATTGTTTTTGTTAATTTTGTTGCCATTGTTGCCGTTGTTGTTGTTGTTGTTGTTGTTTGGTTGTTGCTGCTTTCGCACATCATGAGAAGCTTTTCTGTCGCAGCCAGGACTCTGCTTAGACTCTAGAGCAACTTGGCTAAACAATTATTAGAGAAAAAAATATATATATATTTATGCAGCATATCAGCGCAAGCAAAAACGAAATTTATTTAACTTGTAAGCCGCTTAAAAGGGGCAGCCAAAATTGAATTTTTGAGCGAGTGCCTGTCGAGCCGCAAGTGCAGCTCGGGCTTATCATAAGCCACAGAAGCGCTGCCATATAAACTTCAGCCGGGCAAAATAAATTTCCAGTGCAACATCCTCTCGGCTGGCGTTCATGCAACTAGCCCAAGATGCCGCAACAAAATAAGCATAAAGTATTAAGCGTTGAGTATAAGGCTGCCAAAATATACATCTAAACGGCAGCACGTACTATATGCCTCCTGCCAGTGTATTTAGTATAGAGTATGCCAAGTGGCAGCCTGTGGCAGGCTTTGTCAGGCCGTGGCAGGTTCCGACAGCCATTTAAGCGGGCTGCCTCAGACTTGCTGCTTGTTGCAAGTTCCCGGCTGCTGCAGTTGGCCGTCTTTTGTTGCGGCATAATAAATCGCGCCATCATTTACGGTTTACTGTTGATATATTCGACAGCATTTGTCAGCGCCGCCCCCAGCCAGTTAAGCCACCTGAAGCTGTTGCGGCATAAACCAAAAATTTAAGCTGCAACTAAAGTTTTTCGGCTGCGGAGCACTTAAAGTATCATTTGCTTGCGTAAGTTACGTGTCAAATGATAGGCTTCCCTTTTGCACAGCTCGTAAATGAGCCGAAAACTTTTGCATAGGCATAAAAGTTACGCATACGCCAAGTTTGCCGAACTGCCTGGGCACGTAATCCTAACACCTGTGTGCGTGTGTGTGCGTGTGTGTGCTTTCACATATGATTATCTGGTCTGGCGAAAATGTTTGGCTAACGCATTTGGACAAAGCTCCTTTGGCAACTGGCAACTGGCAACTGGCAGCTTGTAAGTTGCAACAGGCGAGCTGCGTTAAGAGCTGGCAGCTTAAAATAAATTGTCAACGTTGCGTGCTGCCAACTTCTGCCAACGGATTTAATGTAATTGAAAAGTTTGCTTTCTGCATTTGCCATTTTCGCTGTGCTTTCTTTCCATTGCTTCTGCGCTGCATTTGCGCTAATTTGCAGATTTTCAAATTGCGCTTTGTTTATTTGGAAAGTTCTTTGCGCCTCACCTCACCGTCTATACTGTGTGTGTGCACAGCACAGTGAAAAGATGCGAAAAGAAATATAATTATTCTGCAATTTTTAATTAAATGGCATTGGGCAAATTGTTGCTGCCGCTATTGTCTTCATCCTGTTGCCGCTGTGCCGAGCTTAAGCTGCTGGAAACAAAAACTCATTATGGGCGACCAAAATCGTTACAGTCACGCGGCGGCGGCGCTAAAAAACTGTTGATGAGCCAACCCGGAGCCAAGCCGGAGCCAACTGCCAAGCAAGGATGACGATGCGAAGTGGAAAATGTTCAGTGCAAAGTGCTCAGATGGAAGCGCACAATTTATTGAAATGTAAACATGAAACAGCACACACAAATGACTGTAATTAAAAGATATAAAAAAAATGATAAAAATATTGTCCAGCCAGCAAAATGCAACAACCACCCGCTGCCGTTCCACATGGCGTATGAATAATGCTTAAGATCTACAAAACAAATCAACTATGTGTGTGTGTGTGTGTGTGTGTGCATTTGAAGCAAAAACAAAAAAAAAAGGAAAATGTACAAATACTTGTGTGTGTGTAAGCCAAAAATTCTGTTGTAAGCACAAAAGAATTTCAATCCGAATCGTTGCTAAAAGTTTGCACAAAAATGCTAGCGCAAAGCAACAAAAGAAGCGCAAGTGAAAGTTGCTCACGACCGAGTGTGATCGACTTGGAGATACCCTGCAGCTAGCACGCAGTTGCCGCGGAATCTAACCTCGTGCTTCCTCTTCCCTAATAAATGTTTATTGTATTGAATCAAGAATAGCATACATTTTTGCTCTTCTTCGCTCAGGCCTAAATGATTTTTTGAATGCCTTCGGTATGTATAGTCCGATCGTTGTGAAATTACCAGGGCTTAAGAATTCATGGCGTAAAAATGTGTTTTCTACTTAGATTTTGAAGAAATGGCCGGAGCCTTACTAAATATTCTGATCTTCAAATCATGCTTAAGATACCTTGTGGTATGCGCACATATCGAATGCTCACTGTACTGAATCGGACGCGTTGTTTCTTAAACCTAATTGGCTAGCTGAGCAATAATGGAATCTTCAACATAATACAAGTTTCAAAAGCGATTTTTATCGATTTTTTATGAAATGAATATGGAAAAATATTGAAACTTGATATGCATATATTAATGGAGAATAACAAATGCAGAATTAGGCTTTTGCACGGACAGACATCCGGCAAAATCGCGGCAGATCGGGGAAGTAGGCTTTATTGATCACGAATTTATACACTTTTTGGAACCGGAGATGACTTCTTCTGCCTGTTACGTGCACTTGCACAAAGCCATTACAGCCCTTTTAGCCATTGTCAATAGGTGCAGGGTATATAAAAAAAAGGGAAAAAGGGACCAAGTGTTTGAAAGTGTATATTTCTGTGTGAGCGAGGCAAAATAAAAATGTGCGTCTTGCCTCGAGGACGCCAGCGCGCTGACATGGTCGAAGACGGCCGCGAGGGGGCGCCGAAGCGCTTGTCATCATCGGCAAAGCTTTTATTGTTGTTGCCGTTGCAGCGTTTTTTTTGTGGCAGCAATAAGCCAAGACTCAATGCAGCAGCAGCAGCAGCAGCAGCCAAAGCATCTACGCAGGACAGTTGGACCCACAAGGCCGGCGCTGTTGAAACAATCAATAAATCTAAAGTGCGACTACAATTTGCAGTTGGCTGCCAAAGA